TTTTTAAAAGAATGAATTTATTTTGTATTAAAATAGCATTGTAAAATATAAAAATATATCAAAAATATGAGAAATATTTCTTTTTATTTTTAAGTAAAACTAACGCAACACAAATTTGAGAACAAAATGCAATAGTGCTAAACTATCATATAACCTAATTGCTAAATTTTGGAAATGATCTGAGAAATTCGTATTAGTGTTCCATAAAGTGTTTGTAAAAATGTAACATTTGCACCAAAAAAGATTTACATAGCTTTCATTGTGTGGCAGAAAATCACATGAGTAGTTTTCGGAAATTGTATCAGAGCTAATTTGTTTTTTAGATTTGCGATACTCTTGCCCACATAGTGCGATGTGTTGAGGCAGCAGTACTACTTTACTATTAGGAAGTAAACTGCAAAGATAGTAAAACAATACTGAGCACATTATTAGCAAGGTTCAAGTGACCAAAATAGCAAGTATGGGAATGGAAAAGCTGATCACGGAGCAGTTCGGTCTCGCAAAAGCCGTGGAAAAGTCCTTATCTAACCTGAAGAAAGAAGCTGGGACTTCCGACGGAAGTTGGGTACGATGTCATCAACAGAAAAAGGAGGGAGTTAAAAGCGTAATGGTCTTCTAACCTTTCAACAAACAGAACCTCGGTCTCTAAATAGACAAAAGGTTAACAAAAGTCATAAATTCAAACTTAAAATTCACTTAAATGATTTAACAAAGTAAAATTGATACAAAATAAACGATAAATAGCCCTACATTAAACAATTGTAGGAAATAATCTTTTAGAAGAAAAAACAAACCGCTTGGATACAACTATAACCGCAATACTCGTTTTGTTTATACACGTAAAGTACCCAACAAACTCGAAATTGGTCCTCTTTCATCTGCTACTCTGATCATATTTCGCGGTGGGGAGTGGAGAACAGTGCAGTGCCTAAACAGTTCGCCAAGAGATCAATAGACTGCAGATTGCGAGTCCCCAAAACTACAAATTAAGACTTCAAGACCTCAAGAGTATGAAACTTCAGAAGTAGACCTCGAGCGAGACCTAGAAATTTGAAAACTCCTGGTCCTTAAAAGGGCAAGACCTCAAAATCTCGACACCATGAGATAATAAATGCCCGAGACCTAGACAATAGATCAAAGTTTCAAGACAGACCGCAACACCCCAAGCCTTTGAGAGCTCAAAACTTCGAGACCTCATGGATGCAAGACATGCCCACCGAACTTACAATCTTGCAAGTGGCAGTATAGATCTTTGGGATTGATTTCGCACTTCAGGAAACCAAGGGGTGGTTTAGTCTACTTGCTTAGTAAAACACATTCTGATATTTGATGAAGTTCTATTGGCGTATCGAATCATTTAGTACTCGTACATACATAAAGAAAAGATTTGGCATAGATAAATTATAAATAAATAGATCAATGTGCGAAAGTGGACAAACAACTCAATCGTGTTTAATGGGGCGAGGTAACATATCTAGTGCTGCTTTGAGGTCCACACTCTCTCACCTGCAATTCACGTTCACATCTTATAATCGAAAGGTCGGCTTTAAAAGCTTTCATTTTCACTTTATGTAGACGCTAGCATTGCGCCGTATTTAGCATCCACCCATCCATAAATATTTAGCAATTATTGATTTGAGCTAAAGATAGTTTCGCCGCTTTCTATTTTCATCTACAACAGACGATGTGGGAAAATGGCAAAAGTTTTGAAAGGGGGCGGTTTGAACATTCATAATTTAAAAGTTCGGGAAAAGTTGCATTAGAGAAAGTAGAATAATAGAGCAAAAGATAACAATTGTCGATACAACATGCGAATTCTATTTGAAATTCGCAATTCACTCAATAGTTCCCTACTAAAAGTATTTTAATCTACTTTTTTGGCATCGCCCCTTTTGTTTCACTTTCATCGCATCAATCTTGCGCCTCGCTGCTGACAGACAATCAATCTATTGTACCCGTTAACCGAGGCCATAATCCGATTTCAATGTATTTTTTTCACAATAGGATAACAGCCCTGTAAGTTTATGTGCAATTGGCTGTTCATGTTCCCTGATGGATTGTTCTCTGAACTGACACTACCGAAATTTTATACGGAATCTTTTGATACGACCGCAATACGTATAACGTTCAGAATAGTAGAGGACGATAATTACCTAAATTTATAATATAAGACGTTTCTAATTAATCTGGACGCAAAGCAATAGTTCGCATGCTACGTATAAACTCATCGAGCTATAGCACGCAGTTAATTTGTAACAATGGATAATCTGGAAAATACCCATTGCGACCACGCGAACTGGAAAACTCTCATTCACCGACCTTCCCGTCATACAATCCTTACGGACTCCCAATTCATATTTGTCGAATTATAGCCAAGCTGTAAAATATTATCGCATCAGAAGTTTGGTTAGTAATCCGGGTTTGGTTTATGAAAAAGCAATTCCTACAAAATGACTATTAAAACGTTCCAGAAACGTTTTATGAAAGTGCGTGTTATCTTCACGTTGACATCAGCAACCAGCGTTATAGTCGAGCAAGTCTTGGTAACTGCTACTCCATAAAATTCATATAACAATTTCTGTAACACCTTTACGCTTACGTAGTTCATAATAACCCCCCTTAACAACAAGTGATTAGAATCCGAATTATAACGTAATAAAAGGATAAAGCCGAAGGAAGTATCGTCGATTTTCTCCTTAATGTTAGTTAGAGTGTGTTGGTTTAGGACTTTTACTGTTACTAGAGTGATAATAACGAAAATTGCGTAAAAGCACTTTTTTATGTTACTTTTTGTTATACCATTCTTCGTTTTTCGTATTTCATTCGCATATAATTAAAATATAAAGTAAAAAAGAAAAGCAAATCTCTACGTAACATTACAAGAATACTTGACTTGGTCTATTGTATTCTATACCAAATTATTTGAAATTCTCTACCTTTTAAAGTAGGTTTCATTACTCTCGCACTACTACATGTTTCTTAGACTGTATCAATTTATACGAGGCGGCCATGATCTAGAAATGTGTACTAGAAAAGAGGAATTTGCAACGCGCTGACTACATCGAGTAAATGTGGTACAAAAGATGCGAGTTTGTACGTAAATTTTCGATAACATGAATGCTTTTTTTAAGGGTAAATTTCATGCAGCAACAAAGTTTTTGGGGTTGCATAAGATAATGCATGCAAATGTCTTGTGGAAGATTATTATTATGGAAATTATTCTATCGCTTTTGTTATTAAAAAAATGTTTAATAATTGATTTTCTGAGCAAACGAAGTTATAGTGAGAACGATAATTCTTTGGCGACTTTTCCAACATATTGAACTGGGAAAAGCAATTAAGGAGAATAATGGCGGTCACCGATGGCAGTCAGTGGTCGATATTCTAATAAAATAGGACTACAGAAGTTAATATCCCATCTGATTTTATTATTGACACCATATTAACTTGTACCGATTCACAATCAATATAGAATTATAAACATTTGTGATACAATCGGCAATTTATAACGCTTTTTTGTTATGAACTCGTTAGTACAATTTTACAACGCTTGTTAGCATCCATCCATTGATCGATACAAATTTAGTTCGAAAATTACTGAGGTGTACGCGTTTAAAAAAAAACGAATGCACATTCTGTTTGAAAATATAATGCTTGCACTAGCAATACAAATTGAACTCGATAATTAGCGCTAATTTTAGTTGGAGCTGCATTAAAGTTTTACGCTTCGAGGCCCAATTTCTCTATCGTACAATAAATTATCCTTCTTAGGTCAGTATGTAATATTTTGTAAGCGAGAGACTTTTAGTGAGAATTATATCATAAAAGTTGGTAGTTATTTTCTATTAAGGTACATAAACTGTCCCAACTCCTTAAAATCGTAAATCTCCCATTAAAATTCAAGACGTAAGTATGAGAAACGATGCCACGATGTTTTTTTTTACTTTATATAAACGAGGTAAATGATCAACCGCGTGTTTTAAAATTATTAAATTGCTAAAATAAACTACCTCGAGCTTAAACTGTGTCACCATTTCTACCCGAGTAGCGCTCGGGGTTTAACGTTCATTATTTTCAGTTTCTATTACGTGCATTAACTTCTCGTTAAGAGGAGAAATTTGGAAAGATGTTCGTAGATAGATAGGAGGACGGTTATTTCCGTATGCTCACTTAACTGACGAGAAAATTATTTACATATACATTTAGCCTGATAAATTTCTTTTTGTATCCATCGTGCTTTTGTCATAATCTTCCATTTGGGAGATGAAAAAACGGGTAGACCGAATAGATACACATATTTTTTGCACAGGAGATCGATACAACAGTCTCGTTTTTTGTTTCGGGGTAGATTTCAGGCTAATTATTGAAATCCTTTGATCTGTTACATTTGAGGTGTACGTTTATGTTCATTATAAAATAATGTAAAAGGAAAAACCGTTGCCAAAGGACAAAGGTTTTACATAAGCTGAAAGAAGGTACGCCCTCGGTTTAAAAATACAGTTAGTTAATTTACGGATAACAATCGCATACTGTTTACTTTTTTGATTGATTAACATTGGGCTACTTCATAACCCTAATCCTAAACATAAAAGACACATTTTTCAAAATCTCTATAGGTAAATAGTTATTTACATATGAGTATGGTAAATCAAGGTTTACGTTAACGAGTGAGATGTTTACTGCCGAAGCGTAGCTGAGGCAGGAATTTCGAAACGAGTAACGTTAACTGATTTAACATACAAATAATGTAAAACATTTTATTTCATACTGCTCTTTTTTCTATTAAAATGCCATACAATTTTTGATTAGAATGTTGTACGCATTCAAATGAACGCAAAAGTCGATCACTTGATTTGTTTGATCTGACAGTAGTTTGACACATTAATATATAGGTTTAGATGGATGTCAGTTGATGTTGCTAGGCAACATTTCCAGTCTGGTAAAAGTTTTCAGTCTGGTAAAGCGGCTATTACTAGATAGTATGAAATAAAAAATCTTACCGTATCCTTACCACCGATCTTCAGACATTCAGGTAACAAGAGATATCCACTCACCTAAAACAAAAACGTTAATTAATATTGTGTAAAAGCACAACATTTTTAAAATAGTGCTACTAGGTTGTGTTGTCCGTCATACACTCATAAATGAATTAATTGCCAAGACCATTTTACACAGGGGCAGTCTATGATTCCCATTGTATCATAATATCAGCAAAGTTTGTGTGTAAACTCCAAATTCATGGAAACCAACCATGAAAACCTATAAAAGTACGTTTGTAAATCCCATTTTTGCCTATAAGCGTCTCTAAGTGAGGTCAACCTCATTTGGTTACCAAATGGATTTAATCATCGGTTTATTTATATTATTTTGTCTTTATTTGTAAGGAGGCGAAATGTCAGCAAGTGCTGCTGTACCAACCCAATCGACAATGCATTTACAAATATCTTCACAAACAAACATCCATATCCGAACCCTAAGTTAGGTAAGAGTACCCTTTAATCACATCGGTGATCTTCCTAATCAGTTTTAGAAGCTTAGAAGACTCAGATTTGCCATAGGGCCCTGGACTGTCTGGAGTCCGGTTGCTTGTTGCCAGTAGAGGGAGCAATTCCTAAGGTAGGCTCAGGCCTGACGAAGACCCGACCACTGCCTTCACAAGGCAACTCGTCAGCCATTTCGTTGCCCCCTACTCCGCACTGTGCTAGCACCCAGATTAAGCTTACCAAAATTAAAAGAAACGCATTTTGAGTGACATTTGACAAAAGCAATATCCATGAACAATCGAATTTCTTCAATAAAAAGGAAGGAAGAAGCTGATATCAGCTCTCGGCCTATCGATAGTTTTCTCTAGAAAGATTCTCACAATATATTCCCATTGAAAATATTTCGTAAGAGGTTTCTAAAGAAATCGTGAGATTCAATGAGGGCAAGATTCAATAAGTTGTCAAGGAAAATCCCCTAAGCAGGATAGTGGAAAATCCGGCCTATGAAATTGTTTAGAAAGATTCCGCCACTTCCTTAAAATTCCTAAAAAGATGTTCAATAAATTTTTTCTGGGAAGAAAATTACTTCCCCGGAAGACTGAGTAGTTCATGTAGGACCACGACGGCCGCGGCGTTTGGTTTGATACCCGTCGTCCTTAATCTAGAACGACCTCGATCAAGATTTGAAAAAGTTCTAATTATGCGAAAAAGCTTTTTTATGAGCAAGGTTTCAATGAAGGAAGAAAGTCCAATACATTTTTGAAAAGATTTCTATGATATCTTCTAAGATTTCAAAGAAATTGCCTAAGTGACTGCGCTTGTTTGGCGCAGATAACGCGTCTCCTCTGTTCCATATGAAACAGCCCCTGCTAATTCAGAACAGATCAGCTCGTATGCGGAAAATTCGTTGCTGGACTATTCGCACCCGGATATTTCGCACCATCGACATTTCGCTTCCTGATAATTCGCCCCCAAATAAATTTCACCGAAATAATTCAACAATACATGCCGCTCCCTGGTCATTTTCAGTTGTGCATTCGCATCCCCAAATAATAAACTAATGAAAAGGTGGAAATGCCTAGATTATTCCGTTGGAATTAAAAATTGACAATGAAAATCATTATTTTTCATAAGTTGCTTGACACCAATTTTCAGACATTCAGTTTATTACCAAAAAAAATGTTTATTTAAGTGCCCACTATCATTTCTAAAAATTGGAATAGCTTTCGTAAATAATAATAATAAATATATGTTTCATATAAGCAACTATTTGGTGTTTATTGTGGTTATTTAACTTAACAATAATAATTAAATGACTTTTGTATAGAAATTAAATATGAACATAAATTTAAGTTACAGCATGTAATATCGTATTTTATGAAAAATCAACAAATTACCTGGTTACCTGAAGGATCACCAAAATTGCACCCTGCCAGAGCCAAAAAAATCTCCTAAGCGCTAAAATATACGGGTAAAGTAATTACCGCACAATAGTCTCATATTTTTTCCCTATGCAATCTTTTACAATACTACTTTCTAATTAAAATTGAACAACCCGAAATCTTACCATGGAGCACTTCAAATTACGAATAATTTACAAATCAACAAACCAACATTAGAAAATATTGGATAGTCAAATACATGAAAGAATTTCAGTAAGCAAACCTCAAAATGGCATAAACTAAGTAAAATGAATGTAGGATTTTAATCAAACTGTAGCAATGAATAATTAAAGTAATATGAAACAACAGGCAGTAATACATTGGGTGGGTTTGTGGCCAGAGGTCGGTGTTATTAATTAGAACAGGGATAGGCGACGCATGATTGATGATGTCAGAGTTCGCAAGGGAGCGTCGTCCGCCGTCCTTTTAGTTACTATTTTAAAAAAATCCCCCGCTCTGTTGGCACAACAACTTAATTGTAAAACGTCGAAAAATAGGTCAGAGTAATATTGCCGAAAACATTTTATTGTCTTGTTTTCGCGATCGCAGACGACCCGACAGCGTCAGCCAAAAATAATCGACGTCGAAAACTACCCTTACCTACAACGGTCTAACTTGACAATCGTAAAAACGTTTTTAGGAGGCGAAATTCATTTATCGTTCCCAGGAATGCTGGGTTGCGCGACGTTTTGATAAATATTAAGGATTAAGGACGGGCGGATTTCGTTTCAACGTCTCTAATTTGCTTACAATTTGCATTATGGTTAATCTTCTTAGTTCGCAGTTTAACCTAAAATTTATTATTAAAGTAAGGAATCCGACTGGATTTGAAACGTGAAATATCTCACCATCCGAGGTAGATTTCAACACTTACATAATGTACTCGAGACTCTTTAAATCTAAAACTACTCCGCAATGCAGAAGGTATCGGACATAAAATTCACGGCACAGCTGGGATTCGGATCCCACCAACATGCAGAATACATCAAACCTACGGGAATATAGCGTAGGTACTTCCACTCAATACCAATACTATTATGGGAATGATCTCAACATGCTGAAATATTGCATATTGCTAGGAAAATGGCGAAAGATCCTTTATAATCCAATTTCGTCCCTACCGCTCGTAAATACTCCCTATAATGGAGTTTAAACTAAATAAATTCCGGTAAAGCCATTAGTGTTATAGCAATTGGACTCCTCGGCGTATCGTCCTATTTAGTTTACGGAGAACGGTGACTTTTATCTTGTGCAACCATGTAGTTATTGCTAAGTCCCTAAAGCTGCAAGAGCTTAAAACTGATATCGTAGCATAACGACAAACCGTTCTAAAAGGATTAAAAAATACAAAAGAGGGACGAACGCCCGTGCATTACACACGAAAAGACATTTCAGATTATTTTTGTACATCGGAATTCTGCAGGGGTAGACGGAACTGCGCATAATTTCACCTATCGCACGTGCAATGCACAAATGATCGCTTTATTGTTGGGGATTTATACGTAAATTTTCACAGTTCGTATTGGTGCCGTGTCCGAAAGTGTATAATTTTTCATGGTGCGTGGAAGTAATTGCCTAGATTATCGTTGAATGTTTTTCTGCTTAGTAGTTTTCGGGCCTTTACGTTTTTCATACCCCTTTTAACCCTTTAATGACTATCAAATGCCATGAGCTATTATTGAAAGAAATTTTGCGTTTATTTGGCAATAATCTCCCCTCCCTCCCTACATATTTAGAAGTAATGAAAGGGGCAGTACTTTATTCTCAGCGCCTTCCGGTACCAGGATGCAGACAGAGCTGGGCAGTATTCGATTTTGTAAATACTTTTTAGTATTCAAATCCTTTAAAGTATTCAAATACTTTGCAATTAAATACTTTTATGGAAGCAGTATTTGTATTTGTAACTCAAATACTTTCACAAATATTTAGTATTTGAATACTTCGCAAAATATTTGGATACTTCGTAAAGTATTCGAAACCCAAATTTCTCGGGAAAACACTTTTTCTTATTAATTTTGGCGCGTAGAATCCAAAACAATTCGTACTTTTTCGATTACACTTCTCAATCAAAAGTTATGGACTAGAAACCAATTTCGAAAGCAAATTCAAAGGGCTGAAACTTTTGAATCAGTCGCCCAATCTTGGAACTGTTTGAAATTATGGATTCTACAGGCCACATTCTATAAGAAATTTTATTTTTAAATTTTTAATATATTTGAGTGACAAGTATTTGAATACTTTTTGCTGTATTCGAATACTTTTTATAGTATTCGAATACCTTTGAAAGTATTCGAATACTTTTGAAAGTATTCGAATACATTCTAAAGTATTTGAATACTTTTCAATGTATCTGTATCTAGTATTCGCTTGTGCTGGACGTAAAAGTATTTAGTATTCAAATACCTTTGATTTGTGTAAAGTATTTACTATTTAGTTTTCAAATAGTTTTTTAAAGTATTCTGCCCAGCTCTGGATGCAGAGAGGTAGCCGGATCAGGCTCGCACCGTGGGGGGGGGGGGCAGAAGCAAAGTTTAGACAGGCCCTTCGCTAGGCCAGGGCTGCGATGTCTATACAGGGCCGTAGCCGGTTCGTTGTATAGAAGTTTTTAAACTTTTTTAAACCATTGCGAATTGAAAGAAAATAATTTCAAAATGGCGTCGCTTCCGTAAACGCCGGAAGTTGGCACCATCTTTTTTTTTTAAACCTATTTTCTATTTTTTTCTAAATTCATTCTGAATTCAACGCAATTTAAGATTTGCAAGGGTCCTTTCAAAAATTCATTAAACCGTTCAAAATAAGTGAGTGCCTTTTTTTATAAATCGAATTCTTAAAAGTTTAAGGAATTTTTTGAGTAACCGCTGAAAGTCTTGCTAAGGAGTAGTCACATTTCGGAACACTCTAATGTTTGTGTAATAGGATTTGCCATTTAGTATAAGGGTTGCGGTTACTTAACCGACGGGATTTGAATTCCGACCATTAGCGGCCACTGCATCTTCTGTTGAGGGTAACATGGGTCCAAGTTGACTGAACATCACGAAGACTACTAGCTTCCAGTTCCAGTGTCAGGTAGCCAGCGGACAAAAGTTATGTAGTGCTATTTCCAATCTTCCAATCTCAACTAATGAATGT